TGTCATCCAGTCGAGCGGCGGTCTGAGCAAGGACGAAATCGAGAACATGATCAAGAAGGCCGAGGAGTACGCCAGCGCCGACAAGATCAAGCGCGAACTGATCGAGATCGTGAACCAGGGCGAGAGCATAGTGCACGACACTGAGACCAAGATGGAGGAATTCAAGAGCCAGCTGCCCGCCGAGGAGGTAAGCAAAAGCGCAAAACAGGGATCTCTTGTAGGGTTTTCTAACCCGATTTACTTGCAGTGCGAGAAGCTGAAGAAGGAGATTGCCGATCTGCGCACGTTGCTGGCCAACAAGGAAACAGCCGATCTGGAGGAGGTCAGGAAGGCAACCAGCTCGCTGCAGCAGGCCTCACTGAAGCTCTTCGAGATGGCCTACAAGAAGGTAAGCTGTCTGAGCCTATGATCTATGTGCTATCAGTTAATCAATTGACTTTCTTCGGGTAGATGTCCGCTGAGCGCGAGAGCAGTGCTGGTGCCGGATCCACCGAAAGCGCTGGATCCACCGATAGCAGCAGTTCAGGCGATGCATCGGGCGAGAAGAAGAAGGAAGACAAGAACTAAATTAGGCAACCATAGTTATAGTTGTTGTTCCCCCTATTTAATGATAGCCCCTTTTGGATTTCTATTAAGTTTTACGTTTAACATAACTACATCATATTCCTTTTCCAAATCACAAACCACAACCGGCATTTACCCCCAACAAGTGAGACGAAAGCGACGAAACCCAGAAAATGCCATCCATCGATCGATTGCATAAAGTTTTTATTGTTTATTATGGAATCGATCGATGGTGCTGTCTGCGGCGGTGCTGTGTTCCCCGTAAGATTTTGCTTATATTTACGTTTATTCTAACTACCGTCTAGTTGTACGCTAACCGATCACAGCACAAAACACGCGACAGTCTGGTAGGGTCATAGGTCATACTATAAGCTACATTTTGGTACGTTGGTTTCCAGTGGACAACCAACCGACAAGCGACACTGGGTAAAAGCAAATTAAATTTAAATATCGATGTAAACATAAAATAAACAAACAAAACCATACACACACATACAAAACTACGAATTGAAGTGTTTTAATTAATAATACAAATTCTGTACATAAATTCAAAGAAGTCTTAAGCAATGACAAACATAAATAATCTTATAATAATCTTAAATAATCTTCTTGTACAATCGAATACCTAACTTTGATCGCGATTTCTTAGGCTTTACAATGGTTTATTATGTATATGTATATATTATATTTATATGATCTAGATTTATGCTATTTTATCGTTATCGTATGCTAGAATGCTGTCTACATGGCTCCGCTCTGCAGCTTGTAGAGCGTGTAGTAGATTCCGCGATTCTCCAGCAGATTTTTGTGGGAGCCGGACTCACAGACGACGCCGTTGTCAAACACAAAGATCACATCCGAATGGACAACGGTAGACAGTCGATGGGCTATGCTGATCGTGGTGCGACCCTCGGATGCGGCATCCAGCGCATCTTGGACAACCTACCAAAGGATAAAGCAAAGTATTAAGACTACTGAAAGCAGCTGCTGGGTAGACTGAACCAACCTTTTCGCTTTCGGCATCCAGGGCAGAGGTGGCCTCGTCGAGCAGCATGATCTTGGGATTACGGATGAGAGCGCGCGCAATGGCAATGCGCTGCTTCTGACCGCCAGACAGTTGGGCTCCCTTCTCACCCATTCTCGTGTCGTAACCCTAAGGGGGGAGTCACAGATTAGAGACTAATCTTTGGAGGGAAAAGTGGTTTCTTACCAGTGGCAGATTCGTAATGAACTCGTGAATATTGGACTTCTTGCAGGCTGACATGATCTCCTGGTCGGTGACAGATCTCGCATTGTCGCCGTAGGCAATGTTTTCCCGGATGGTGCGATCGAAGAGGATCGGCTCCTGTGACACAATGCCGAGTTGCTGGCGCAGATTCGACATTGAGACATCTCGGATATCATGCTCATCGATGAGCGCGGCGCCCTCGTCCACGTCGTAGAAGCGCTGGATCAGCTGGATGCAGGTGGACTTGCCGCAGCCGGAGGCACCCACCAGGGCCACGTTTTGGCCCTTCTTTACGCCCAGCTCCAGACCCTTGAGCACCTGAATCTCCTTGCGTGTGGGATAGCTAAACTCAACCTTGTCGTAAGTGACATTGCCCTGGCAGTGCCATGGCTCGTGCGACACTCCCGGGCGGTTCACAATCGTTGGCTCGCGACGCAGGAACGTGAAGATTGTCTTGGCGGCAGTGATTCCCTTCTGCATGTTGGGGGCAAAGGCCAGAGCGTTGGCTATCGACGCAGTGCCCATGATCAAGGCCTGGGATACTCTGAAAGGGGAGGTGAACTGTAGGACTGATATTCTCCCTCGATCGGCAGTCTTTCGGGCACTTACTTGAAGACATCCCCGAACTCGATGCCCCGATTGATCACGCACCAGGTGCCGTAGTACATGCAGGCGGCATACGCAAAGAACATGAGGGAGCGGGCAAGGCCATAGACCAGGCCACGGAAGTGGGTGTTTCGCTTGGCTGTCTGTGGGGGGATCGATTAGATGCTGTTCGAGTTGCGCAGGTTTTCGGAGCTACTCACTTCGACGGACGGGACGAGCATGCCGATGTAGGTACGATGGAACATCTCCTCGCGTCCCAGGGAGGCAACGGTGCGAATGTTGGAGACCACCTCGACTGCCAGCTTGGTGCAGTTCTCCATGGTCTTGGCCGTGCCCATGTTCTCCTGGGCCATGATCGTGCGCTGCATGTAGAACGAGATGAGGATGAAGGGCGTGAAGGCGAGAGCGACCAGACCCAGGCTCCACTCGTAGTACATGGACAGACCAATGCCGACGGCCAGTGTGGAAATAGACTGAATGATCGTGCCGATTCTCTGGCCAGTTGCCTGCGTAAATCAATTGAAAAGATAGCCATCAGTTGGGGAATAATTAATTAGTTTAATGGCAAAACGTACGCCTTGGACAGCGGCTGCATCGCCGGAGAGTCTAGCGCAGAGGCTTCCAGTGCCGTTGGCTTTGTCGTCAAACCAGGCCACCTCCTGATTCAGCATCCTCTCGAACATGAGGCCACGCAGGCGCTCCGTAAGTCGCTCGCCGGCAATGCCAAAGAAGTAAATCTGCAGGAAGGTGGCAATGCCCACGACTATGCCGGAAATCAGGAAGTAGAGACTGTACTTATTGCTGTTCTCGCGGACATACTCGTCGTTGTCCTTGACGGACAGCACCTGCAGGATGCTGCCAAAGAGTACGGCAAAGATTGGCATGGCACAGCCCATAATCACGGAGGAGACGCAGCCAACGGTGATCTGTGCCCACTCCGGTCGGTTCATCTTCATCACCTCCGCCATGGGTTTGACTTCGTTGGGGTCCTTCACCTTCTTCTTCTTCTTCTTCTTGTCCTTTGTGACGGCCTCTGGTTCCTGCTCGTCCTCATCCTCCAGCACCTGGATCTCCTCCTCGTCCTCGTCCTTGATGTCGAAATTCTTGTAAATGTCGCCGGTGGGGCTCATCACGGTGTCGTCATCCTCGCCCAGCTGTGTGGTCACCAGATTGAAGTAATGATTCTTCAGCATCATCAGCTCCTGGTGCGTGCCGCTCTCCACCACCTCGCCCTTGTTGATCACCACAATCTTGTCCGCTCGTCGCACCGTCGACAGCCGATGAGCCACAATGATGGTGGTGCGTCCAGCGCTGACCTTCTCCAGGGCAGCCTGCACCTTCGCCTCACTGGCGGTGTCCAGGGCCGAGGTAGCCTCATCCAGCAATAGGATCTCCGGGTCGCGTATCAATGCACGTGCAATGGCAATGCGTTGCTTCTGTCCGCCAGACAACTGTGCTCCCCGCTCGCCCACCAGCGTCTTATAGCCGCGTGGCAGCTTATTGATGAACACAGCCGCATTGGCCGCCTCGGCAGCCGCCTCAATGTCAGCATCGGTGGCGTCTTCGCGCCCATAGCGGATGTTCTCGTAGATGGATGTGGCGAAGAGCACGGGCTCCTGGCCGACGGTTCCGATGCGGGAGCGCAGCCAGTTGATGTCAATGTCCCGCAGGCTGTGGCCGTTGAAGTAGAGATCGCCGGCGGAGGGGTCGTAGAAGCGCTGCAGCAGCTGGATGCACGTGGACTTGCCGCAGCCGGAGGGTCCGACCAGGGCCACTGTCTGACCGCGATGGATCTTCAGGTTGAGACGATTCAAAATGGGAATCTCGCTGCGCGTCGGATACTGGAACTCGACGTCCTTGAACTCGATGGTGGTGAGGGGCTCGTTGAGGCTCTTGCCCTGATGGCCGATGGGATTGATAGTTGGGATCTGTTCGATGATGTGGAAGACCTTGGCGCAGGCGCCTTTGGCAATGCCAAATGCCTCGATATAGGGGGCGGCCATGCCAATATTCATGGATCCCATCATCACGGAGAAGAAGACAGTAATCATGGTGCCGGCGTCGTAGCTGGCGTAATACGGATCGTGGTAGCTCTTGATCACCAGTCCCACGCCATACCAGAAGGCCAGGGCGTACGAGCCGTAGATGAAGAACCAGAGAGTGCCGAATCCGATGCCGGAGAACATGTTGCGCTTGATGTTGAGCAGCTTGGCGGCCACAACACTTTCCTTGTAGGTCGACACCTCTTTGCTCTCTCCCTCGAACGCCTTCACTGTGCGTATACCGGATAGAGCGCCCTCGGCCACGACTGCAGCTCTGGCGTATTGGGTCACCTCTTGCTTGGCCAACCTGGACGTAGCGACCGACACCAGACTCATTGCGACGAAAGTCAGCGGCAGGCTAACCAGGCAAACCAGCGACAGCTGCCAGCCCTTGACAAATGCCAACACCAGGGAGCCCACAAAGGACACAACGTAGTGGACGAACATGACGACCTTTTCGGCGAGGCCATCCTCCATTTTGGACAGATCCCTAAGGGGCAGAGATGAGTTAAGAGGATGGTTTGGTGTATGCTTGGGAAGCCACTTACTCGTTCATGCGACTGGCCACCTCGCCGCTCTGGTTGAAGTCATACCAGCTCATGTCCTGGTTCAGGATGGAGCGGAAGAACTTGGATCGGATGGTCAGAATCTGATTGTGGGCGGCGTAGTTGAAGCAGGTGATGGAGATATAGGAGCACACCAGCATCACAATTCCAATGTAGGTGTTCTGCAGCGAGAACTCGCGCACCTTGTCCAGCAGCAAGTCTCCCTGGTCATCGCCGTCACGCTGGTACGTTCTACCCTCAACTGTGCCGCCTAAATCGATCATGTTCTACAGGAGGAGATGTACATGTAAGAGGGGAAAACTGTAATCACTGCACATTTCACTTACATTTGCCAAGTTGCCGAAGACCAAACTGTTGGCAGGAGTCGTGAGGCCTGTGGCCACGGCAGACAGCAGCCCGATGATGTAGAGTGTGCGATCCTTGGTGGTGGCATAGCGGAACATCTGGAGGTAGCCGACCTGCTTGACATCCTCGTTGTAGGAGCCATCGTCCTTCTTCTCTTCTGCCTCGTCATGATTGGAATTCTTATTCGTCTTGTTGGGTGCACTGCAATAAGGGGCGAGCACGCACGCCAATCATCGGTGAGTATTATAGTTTATCAGTGTTCTATTGACGCCATAACGCCATGAACGTGAACCCAAACCCCAATAGATATAGCCAACCGAGGCACGCCATATGACACCAGTCACTACACAGCCCACATATCAGCGCGCGACTTCTACACATTGGTTTTTCCATTATCAAACAACACAATGAAGATAAGCGCATAGTACGTGTGTGTGTGTGTGTGCATATTTAGTAGTACGTACTATACCTACTATTATCATATTGAGCCCGCAGACCAGACCCTGCGCTATTGTTTTTTTGTTTTCCAAATTTATTGCATTAACCATCGATAAAAGATAAACGAACGAATGTTAGCAACGGCGCAACAGATACTCTACCTTACGAGTTTCTATGTATGTCGGCGAAACGGGTTCTCTTTCTGCAGAAGCGCATTAAAGTGTGTCTGACTCAAGGTGAATTTAGTAATGAGGTGAAATCCGCTTTTCAACTCGCTGCTCCCGGCTCTTGGGGTGTTTGTTTGTTGTTGTTGTTTTATGTATGCCCACTGACAAACCAAGTTGAATATTCTTGGAGTAAGATTAAGGTGGAAAACCTTGCGACAAACGAATGCAATGGATCAATATTAATTTATTTATAACGTCAAGTTTTCTATGTAAATTCCCCTTGCAACGGATTGTCCCCAACAAGAGTAGTTTATTTAAAAAAATGTTAGTAAATTCACCTTGGTTCTCACAAGAGAGCAGAGAATATGTGGTGAAATCACGTAACTTGAGAGCCTGGTAAATTCACTACGTAATGTCACGCCTTCGAAAGGGTATCACAGGCCGTCACTTTAATGTTTATTAGTTTGCAATTAGCAATGTCATCGTTGAAATGCACTTTGCGTAAAAGGTGAAAAAACTCCTTTGCCTTTACATTGTCAACTTCCTGGTGGCAGAGTTAGGAATTGGCTGCAGACAACAACGGCATTGTTATACATATTTCACAGCACAATTTTATAAAAGCATTTCCTTTCTTCCTTGCTTAGAGGGAGGAACTAAACGATCACTCAATTTCTGAATGGGCCACAAGTACTCCCACACCTAATGTTTCTTTAAACATTTAACAATGATTCACATGGGCACTTGTGGAGGAGTAAGTCCTTTGATCTGTGATTTGTTGCAACTTACAAGCTCTTTGAGTCTTTATCCTGATCTTCGAATGCAGATGATCCCAGGACGATGTTTGATTTGTACTGCAAACGCGATTTATCATCGTCCTTGCCGACGACGCCATTCGAGGCGGTCATCCTGGTGTATGTTTCAATGGAAAATTCACACTACCGATCAATATCAATGTTAATACGTTTAAGTTTTCAGAGATGTCCTGGTGGTAGCGGTACCTGGTCAAAAAAGAATACTAAAATGTGTGCACAAGCGCGGGCTTTTATATATGCGGAAAGCGCCGAGCAGGCAAAAGCCGTAGAATCAGGCCTTATCACGTCTGATAGTGCTTATCGACCATGTAAATTGAACAAGTGCCAAATTCTTGAGACTAACGGTGATTCTGGTCTGCTGGTGAAATACCTGCCCAGACACTCAATGGAAATAAATGACCACAGAACGTGAAAGCATTTAATGAGAGGTGCTCCAAATGGAATTTAATAATGTGACGATGGCAGAGGGGGATATCCTCAATGCCAGCTCTTGGCAAATTTCGGTTTTTTAAGTACTCAATGATCTATTGGATATCAGGGGAAACACTATATATACTCGCGTAAATGCCATAAGTCCAATAATTGCACATTGAAGATACGCATACAATCGATCATGGCAAGGCATTTTCCATGGATTGCGCACATTGAGATGAATATTTCATCATCTGGTAGATGTCCTTCTTCCTGACATATCCAAAAGAAAGAACATTGATTCCAAATTGATTTAATGATGCCTATAAAAAGTGTTTTTATATGTACAAAGATAAAGAAGTCTTTGCCGTTTGCCAGATAAGTTAACTCATCTTTATCACCGCACCAGCCTATGAATGTATTATGAGTAAGTGCAACCTCAGCTATGGTATGATGAGAGATGGAGGAGGTAGTGCTGCCGGAGGAGCGGGACCACAAACACACACAAAACTGATTATCTTAACCTTATCGGGGCTTCCTCACGCGCCCAATTAAATTGTTCAAATCGAATTAGATTCGATTAGAGCTCCGACTATGACGTTGAGCGCGTGAGCAAGCCATTGGCATTACCCTGCAGTTTGTACGTGTTCCGTGAATGTCGGTTGGATGGCAATCGCTTGGCAGATATGAAATTAAGCAAATCCAGTAATTTCAATTTATTATTGATTTCGAAAAGAGCCATACACTTGAGACTTCTGATTAATTGCTGCTATCTCTGGCCGACATGGTTTGCAGTGATTCAATTGCCAAACTAGGAAATCCTCATGACCATGCGCAGCGCATCGCGATTGATTTTGGCCTGCTTGAGTATGTGACCCTCCACAAAGATGTCCGACTCGTACTGCAAGTAGTTGACGCACTTGTCCACGTACAGCAGTGACTCCTCCAGCCGCTCCTTCGGCGACAGACTCGTCTCTAGGGACACGCGACGCGTCTGCTCAGCGATGGCAGAGTGCAGCTCAAAGCAGAGCGTGCCGAGTGTGCGTACCTCACCTGGGGGGATAATAAAACAGAACAAAAACACTTGAGATATGGCTGCCCCCTGTGCAATGTCCAATAATGGCACTTACATGGCGCAAGGGTCTCGTATAGCTGAACGAGCTCCGAGGAGAACTGCAGCTTCAGCGCCAACTTATCGTCGGCGAGCACCATCAGCTCCTGCTGATCCTTGGCCAGCAGCTGGACGAGCAGTATCTTCACCTCACTCATGTGAAAGTGACGCGGCGGCAGCCACTTTTCGTAGTGCTTTAGGTATCTGCAGAGGGAAGAGGAATGAGCACGCATTGGCAAACCCTTTCAAACACTGGCAGCATTCACTCACTTTAAGCCGTTTTCCGCAGTCTTCTCCATGGTCTGCAGGTCTTTGCCCGCTCGTTCCAGAATGCGATCTATGTAGTGCCTCTGCACCTGCTTCTGGCACTCGCGGCACCTGGAAAGCAGCAACAAGGCATGAAGATAATTATATAAAATGCAGCTACGGTCACTCACTTCCAGCTGCCATTCCAATCGTCAGACTTGCTGGGCAACATGAGACCATCGCAGCGGCTGTCCTCGCACTTGATGGCGCTGTAGTTGGTGCCTAGCTCCGTGACATCCGCACAGCGTTCGCAGGCGCACTTAAAGAGCTTCGTCTGGACGAGATGACGCTGCCGGTCGGCGGTGCCCCACATGGCGTCCGAGTAGCAGATGCTCAGGTGGGAGTTCTTCTTGATTTCGCGCGGCGCCCACAGGATGCAGTGTCCGTTCTTGTTGAAGCTCTTGGCCAGGTTCGGCATGCAGGAGTGCTCCGTGAAGGAGGCCGTGTAGAAGACAGCAACATGTGGTGGATCTGAGGTGGGAACTTCGTGGCCATTGATCTGCAGGGCGCCCACAGCTTTCATCACTTCCTCCTCGCTAAATCTCTCCGTCTTGAAGAACCTGCAATCGATGGGTTATAGTCTCGGTCAGAGTGCTGCCAACTGACTGCCTACTTGGGTATAAACTGGCCAATGCTGGCGAGATCCGCCTTCCATTGGTTGGAGCCACGCCTGGTGGACTCCAGCGACTCGAGCTCCTGGAACTTACGCGCCTTCTCCGGGCTCGTCTCGCCGATGAGCAGACAGCGCACGGTGCTCACGCAGGTGTACAGCGGATGGGAGCCATTGAATTCGTGCACATTGACCTTTTGGCCCCGCTGCTGGGTGAGCTGACACTCAGCCCGATGCTCCTCGAGCGACTTGCACTCGGGTCCACACAGCGGCCAGCCGCACAGGTCGCAATCGATGTGATCCTCCGGCTCGATGCTGTTCAGGCAGCCCATGCAGACAGGCGGCGTGATCTGTGCTGGTCCCCGCACCAGCGGCGCCTCCTTCAGTATGATCTCGTGCGGCTTTATGTTGCGCGTGGCCACCAAGTGTCGCCCGAGCAGCTCATTGTGGGCAATCTGCAAGTGAAAGTGATTGAGGTTGAGGTTATGTCGTTTGCGGTGGGAAACTTCGGGAAAGTTCTTGCCTTAAACGGATGGCAGCTGGATTTGTGCGCCTTCCAGTCCTGCTTCTGATGCTGCACACTGCAGTAGGACACCTGATTGCAGTTGGAGCACTTGCTCTTGGTCGGCTGCTCGCACACATTGCAGGGATTCATCGCAATGAAGATGCTTTTCCAACGAGAATCTCCAACACACTAACAGCACCCAGCACGTACACACGTATCAGCGCGGTGTGCATCCACACGAGAGGTACACGATTCGCTGGGCCTCTGCCTCTTGAAACTGTGCCGCCGAGCTGTCGGGCAGTCATTAGAAGAGCACATCTGTGTGGAAGAGGGGGGTGCGGGCTCTATAAATAGCCCACTGTGGCACTATGTGGAGTGGACCAATGCACACTCATGTGTGGCTGAGGCAGCCACCCTAAAAGTAGCCTTTGAAACATTACCCAACGTCGCTCGCTGGGCGTGGTTGATGCATGCATAATCTGATTTATTTTCCAAATTCAATTAAATCCTTCAATGTTATGTACAATCGTTTGAGTGCTCTCGTGTAGGCAAGGAGCGGGCTTTGCCTGTTGCCTCTCAATTACAGCTAGTAAAACTAGAAACTTGTATGCGTATTGCAATACTCAATAATCAACTGATAAATACAATTTTTACACAATTTATATAGCCTCCACCCAGCTATACACTGAGGTATATAACACTAATGCCGCTTCGGTTTGCGCCTAAACCTTGATTGTGGCCTGTTTTTGGGCTTGGGAGCTGCTCGCCCCGTCGATCAAATATCAGTCTCGTCCGCGGTGCCATTGGGCTCGCGCACCGTCACAAACTTTTGCAGCGTGACGTTCTCCTTGTTGTTGGCCTTGCTGCCGCCGACACTGTTCCGCCGCTTGCCCTTCTCCCGCGTCTTATCCGGCAAGCCGTTGACCTGGAAATTGTCACTTTGGAATGGTATCGATATTGGTATGCTGTATTCGCTCTGAAATGCTGTGGTTTTCTCCTCTTTCTCCTTTTTCTTTTCCTTCTCTTTATCCTTTTCCCGATGGTCTGCTGCAGCGGGTGGCTCCGCATTGGTATTGGCATTGTAATTTCCTGAAAGTGCAAAACATAAATGAGAAACTACTCTCTGTGGCTGGCGAGGCCTTGACCAACCTTTCGCTCCAAACATGTCCGTGTGCTTGAAGCTGCTGCGATTGCGCTTCCCTCGCTTTCGCATGTTCAGCCGCAAGGCAGTCACGCTGGTTCTGCTGCGCTTCGATTTGGGCGTGTTGTGCTGCTCGGGTATGGGTGTTGTCTCAACAGTTTGCGGTGGCTTTGGCGATGGGCCGGGAACGGGACTCACACTTCGACTGGGTGTGGTGCGGCGTCCTCGGCTGCTTTCGGTGTCGGAATGATTGCCCTGATAGCTTTCGGCCGTAATCTCTTCCTCTTCTGCTTCGGGCTCCTGCGCGTCATAGCACTCGGCATCCTGTTCGATGATTTCGATCTCCTCGTCGCCGTCTTCGTCGTCGGAGAGAGCCTGTCGTAGCAATATCTCGGGTCCGCCGCCATAGATGCCATGCAGAAGCCGCCAAGAGCGTGCATTGAGCTGCGCATAATCGGAGCCGATTCTCACACAGCGAATGGTGCAGTTGCTGTCCGTGGAGGCGCATATGCCATCGTTCTTGATGGGCCCTGGCTCCTTGGAGGTCTTTCCGCGTGTAAAGTTCTGCCAAGAGCGTAGCCAGGGCATGTCAATGGCATAGATGGCAGATGAATCGAACTCGCTTTGGAGCCCATTCAATTTTGTGAACTCGTTGAGCTCATGCTGCTGTCGCCGGCAGAGCGCCTCGGCCGCCCGCTTGCAGATCTCGCACTCAAAGAGAATGTTAACTGGCGGTCCACCGCCAAAGTTTTTGCACAGAAAGTCCCACAGGGGCTGGGAAATGGGCACGGCAATCTGGCTGATCATGGGTATCTTGGAATGTAGGACGCCGCCATGAGGGCAGAGCATTTCCTGGTTATTGATGGGGCCCGGCTCGGAGAAGGTGGCCAGCCGGGAGATCCATTCACGCGTCACGTAGAACTGAATGTCCGAGTCGCAGAGCGGATGCGCATTGGACAGATGTACGGCCTCCTCGCGAATGAGCTTAATCAGTGGATTGTGCTTTTGGTAGAAGAGCACGTAGGCCTGGCAGTTTTGCACCACTTCGGGATTCACCTCGCTCACGAACTGATCGTCGAACTCGTACCAGCGTCCGTTCAGAGCGT